CGATGTTTTACCTGGCTGCGGCCGTGTCAGATTTCTATGTTCCTGTCTCTGAAATGCCTGAACACAAGATCCAGTCATCTGGGGGCCCACTGCAGGTGATGGGCACTTCTCTTCCAGAGATCTGATCCCCTATAACCAATCTTGGGTTAATTTTCTCCTGATTTGGAGATGGCCTTCTTGCATTCTGTATGCGCTAGGCACTGGGGATACAGAGATGAATAAGACACCGCCCTCCCTCAAGGACTACACAAGCTAGCGAGGGAGCTGGACACAGACATAATTACAATACAGAATGCTAATGCTCTAGTGGAGGTAGGTACAAAGTGCAGTTAGACCAGGGGAGGGAGTGAACTGGGAGAGCAAAGGATTCCTGCAAGAGATAATTTGAACTGGGTTTTTTAAGACATGCAGAGGGTCTTAAAAGTGGGGAAGGTCATTCCAAATGGACTTGTACAGTTGAGATTGGAAGTGGGCGTTGGTGAGGTGTAGAGCACACTGAAGAGGTGGCTTGGTTGAAGATATGGCTTGATTCATATCCCTCTTGAGCTTTGGCTTTGCCCTGTGGAATCAGAGGGCACGTATATAGGAGAATGAGTTTGAGTTTTTGTCTGAAAAGTATATTCTGGCATTATTTTGAAAAGTGAAATAGGGAGAGATTGGAGAGGAAAGAGGAGTTAGAGGTTATTGTCTTTTTCTGGAGAGATATGGGAGGTTAGTGGTGTGGTTAAGATGCTAAGATGATTGGGTGTCTTAGAACCTAAGGGAGTTTTTAGCAACATATTGGGTGATTCAGGTAGAATCTACATAGGGGAAACTACTTGTGGGGCATCTGTAGGATAGTTATTTGGTTGTTTCTTCAGCAGATATTTGTGAAATACGTAATGTTGTATAATAGTCATTCACTATTGTGGGACATGGGAATGAAGTCATTGAGAAGAACCATACATAGTACTTGCATTACTTATACTCTATAGAGTAGTCCAGTGGATACTATGTTTGGCACTAGTGGATGTCAGAAATGAAGTGGGGAACTAGATGTCATCTGTATCTCAAAGAGGAAATCCTGATCATTATTAGCATAGTGATTTCACATTTTTAGAATGCTGCATCTTTAACCCTATTCTTTAGTTTTATCTTGAATATACCCAAAATGATTCAACCAAGAGGTTGGCAGGGATTAGGAAATTGATGATAGAACTTTTGATCAAGTGAAAATAAAGTCATTTGTTTTCTCAGGACTAAATTGCATGAGATTTGTAATCTAGTTACAAGTGAATGGAATTATAAATAGAATCCAATAGCCATTCTACCAATATAAGTAATATTGTAGATTGAGAAGTTTGATTTTTTTCTCCTTAACCAAAAAAAAAAAAATATTCACCAGGTACCATTGGCTCATGTCTGTAAGCCTAGCTACTCAGGAGGCAGAGATCTAGTAATTGTGGTTAGAAGCCAGCCCAGACAGGAAAGTTAGTGAAACTCTTATCTCCAATTAACTACAAAAATGCTGGAAGTGGAGCTGTGGCACAGGCAGTAAGTACAACACTAGCCTTGAGCAAAAAAGCTCAGGGGTAGTGCCCAGACCCTGAGTTCAAGCCCCAGAACCAGCACCAAAAAACAAAACAAAATCCACAACAGTGGGAGCCTCTGCTAAAGCAACGTTTGTATGAGCAGATTATTTATGAATGTCTACATGAGGGCAAGCTTAAAAAAAAAATAGAGGGAATGTTTGAGAAAATATGAGTGGTAAATCAGGGATGATTTAGAAAATGTGGATTTCTGCAGAAAATGAATGAGGGCATTTTTATGAACCCACAGCACCAGAACTTTTTAAACTATTTAAGCTTTTGAGAAGTTTGACAAAGAAATCCCGCTCAAATTTATATAGGCAAAATATGAATTCCCAATTCCTTGCTTTCTCTTATAGGTAGTTGCCATTGCTTATTAAGCTTTTCTTTTTCCAATGCAGATAACAATGAAGATGGTGCCAAAAATGCTCTCTCCTCTGGTTAAAGATTGGGCTCCCAAAGCATTTATAATTTCCTTTAAGTTGGAGACTGATCCTTCCATCATAATTAATCGTGCTCGGAACGCTTTGGAAGTTTATCAGCATCAAGTGGTGGTGGCTAATATCCTTGAGTCAATACACTCCTCTGTGGTTATTGTAACCAAAGACTCGGAAACCAAGTTATTGCTGACAGAGGAAGAGGTAGCAAAAGGCATAGCGATAGAAGAGAAAATAGTAGATAATCTTCAATCTCGACACACAGCTTTTATATGTGACAGAAATTGAACTAAAAATCTCAAAAATTATTATAGGATCAAAAATTATTGAGTGGACCAGGTCTTCTACAGATGTCAAGAACCGAATAAATCCTTTGCTTTCCTAAGAACAAAGAAAATGAAGGGAACAGTTAAAGTGGTGTGTGCAGGCTAATAATGGGTTGATATTTCTCTTTTAATGGCCACTTGACACACCTGAATGTCATTGTGATTTGGAAATTGAACCCTAGAACTGTATCTCACATTTTTGAAAAGGCTGTTAGGAATTCACTACCAAAAATATATGTGGAGGACTGAATGCTGAAGATCAGCTTAATACATACTGTAGAAGGAGGATTATGGATACATGAGTGGCCGTGCTTTGAAGAGCAAGTATTTGTTGAGTGCCTACTATGTGCCAGGCCCATGGTGAGCTGTGAAGATTGAAAATGAATAAACATGTTTCGTTTAGGAAATGGATGTATAAAAAATGAAGTGCAATAAAGTGTATGCCCACAAACCAACACATGGAAAGGATTTTCTTTTTTAGAAAAAAATTACCAGAAATGGTAGAACGAAAGAAAAATACCTCCCTGAAGATAGACTGCCTGTAGGTTGCAGAACTTCCCACTACATTTACTTTTGCTTCTTGTCCTGTGCTTACTCCATATTTGACTAACAATTTACCTCTCATATATTTTAGAGCTGCTCTTGAGGGAAATTTAATAGAGCCTTCCACTTGGAATTAGGCAAGAGCCCCTGTTGGGCACTGTGGCGATGTGTATAGTTTGGTGTCACCATGGCCAGCTGTGCCATCCACTAACTTTATAAACTTTAGGCACATGACTTAATCTGTTTTCTTATCTATAACATGGGGATAATAAATCTCAGCAAATGCTAAGTAAATAAAACATCAAAGATAAAGCACTAGTCTTGTACCTGGTTGCAATTATTTACCAAGTCTGTTAATGCCAGACCCTAAGATGATCCACAGTACAATTTGAGAAACTACCATTAATATGTAGGATGATAAACATTTCATGTAAATATTTGACTATGGAATGTAACCATAGTGATAGACTGCTTGCCTAGTATGTAGAAGGCCCTGAGATTTATTCCCAGCTCTGAAAAGTAGAATTTGAACTATAATATTTCAGAGAATTGTGAAGATAACCCAGTATATCCTACAAAAGAGGACACACAATAAATTTTAGTTGAGAAGATTTGGACAAAGGTGCCAGGGTAAACTAAAATACTTCATTAAATCAAGAAGCGTGACCTTAAACGGTGTAGAAATAGCCAAGACTGAAAGCAGCAGCCTTTTGAACAAACATTTTCGATGAACTTTAGGTCCATTTGTCAAAAGCATCTGATTCAGCAGTGGTTGCAATATTGAAAAGCAGTAAGTAAAAGACTGATTTTCCTCCCTGCATCTAGTCTTATGTATAGTGACTGCCATCTTTGCACAGTGGGAGTAGAGTTAAAATTTGAAGTGATTAATTTTTTCACCATATTGCTTCTTGTGGGAACCACTTCATTTCTTTTGTTAACCTTCAGAAGGAGTTTTTTTTTATAGTTTCAACTTTAGTTTTAGTATCTATTTGGAACACTTAAAAACAGTATTTACACAGTAAAAAATAGGGGTTTGTGTGAGTGTTGTAACAGCAAGTTGAAGTGTTTAAAGAAAGGAACACGAATCAACAAAAATAAGGAACTGTCTAGATTGGAGGAGCAAAGAATAAGGAGGTAATGCTGAAACGTAAATAGGATTAAGTAGTAGAATAGGTAGTAGTGGTGAGCATTTGAGAATGGTGTAGGGGTTGGGGAATGAAGAACTTGTAAGGGCTGTCTTAAGGTACATGCACAAAAAAGAGATGAGATCCATCCAGATAATGCATATAGAACAAGCAGACATTTGGATTTACAATTCCAGTAAGACCATGTTTAGGGTACTGACAAAACAAAGGGCTCTGAAATATAAGTGAAATTGAGCTTTGACAAGCTCAACCTGAAATCGTGCAAAGGGTATTCCCTCGCCCCCAAGGTCATCTTTGAATATTATAACTCAAGTTATAGTTCAACTTTGGCTCCGTGAAAAGTTTGTTTTTGTGGTCAAACATTTATTTTGTGGTCGAGGGGCTTGAACTCAAGGCCTGGGCGCTGTCCATGAGCCTTTTGCTCAAGGCTAGCGCTCTACCACTTTGAGGAGCAGAGTCAGTTCGGGTTTTCTGTAGGTAAGAGTTTCATGGACTTTCCTGCCTGGGCTGGCTTTGAATCACGATCCTCAGATCTCAGCCTCCTGAGTTGCTAGGATTACAGGTGTGGGCCACCGGCGCCTGGCTCACTGAAAGTTTTTATTTTGCATTACTTAAGTAGTAAGAGATACAACCCACCCAAACCGAACTTTCATCCGTTTTAAGTGTGCCAGTCATAGTAATTCCCAAACCCAGCATCTTCATTTTTACAATAGGCTGTTTCAAAGTACATGGTTTCATTTGGACCACCCTAGATGGTTCATGACAGATATAGGCCCCAAAGTCTGCCCTAACACCCTACCCTAAGAAGGAAGTAACTAAATCTAAGGTAAGTAGGCCAGAGGTCTGACCAGAATCAGAATTAGACTCTGAGAGTGTATACATCAACGCCGCATTGTTACTATGGTTACTGCCACCTCCAGAGCCAATAGACTTGAGTCGTGCTAATGAGACCGCAGGGAGAACCCCGCCCTCCTCGCCTGAAGGCCAATGGTATGCGCCGGAACAAAGTTTTCAGAGGAAACGCTCTCCAGGGCGTGCGTCGTATCTATGGCTCCCACCGGAAGCACGCCTGTGCTCTCTACGGCCGGCGCGGTTGCTATGACGCCGGAACTCGGTGGGCCGCGGTGAGCAGCCAGGAGCCGAGCGACCCTCGGAATCTCGCCCGAATCTCGCTGTAGCCTCTGGGAGAAAAGTTTCCGATCTGCTTCCTAAGGTCCGGGACTCCTCTCCGAGAAGGAAGGCGTTGCTTCCCCCCTCTTCCACATTCCAAGTCTTTCTCGCTCCTCTCCCAGCACGGGCCCCAAACTACCTGAGAACGCCGTCCGGCTCGGCCTTTGCAGCCCCGGGCTGGAGTAATTCGTCCTGCCGAAGGATCCTCCCTGCCCCACGTCCCCAGTGACCTCCGCGCTGGTTTCGAGCGGGTTTAGAACCCGCGGGACGAACATTCCTTTTCTCACTACAGCAACCGACGGAATCCAGCCCTCGAAGGGGACGACCCGCCACCACCAAGTCCACGGAGGCACAGTTTTCCCCTCCTTGTAGTTGCCGTTTTCTTCTCTTTTTTGTCTTTGTTCGTCATGCAGAACCTTGAATTCCAATGAAGCTCAGGAAGTCTGCGGTAACTCCAGCATCGGAGATCATCAAGTCAGTCAGTTACCTTCTGCCTTCCAAGTTCATCTATTCTCCCATCACTCCAATCAATCACGTTTCCTCATCTTCTTCATCCCACAACCATTTCTACCCTCTCCTGTCCACGCGGCATGCTATTGATGGCCAGTCGTCCTCACCACCTCTGTCATCCATCCACCACCCCTCTTCTGCTTTCCTATTGCAGTGTTTTGCATGGCTAAGCATTTCACATTCTCCAGCCCTGCAGTCATTGTGAAGATTTTCTGTCTTTCTGTACTGTGGCAGGCTTTCTGTCTTGGATAAATTGGAGCCTAGATGGAGAAATGAACATTGCTAAATATATACATTAGATGACTGCAAACATAGTACATATGAAAATGGAGAAAAAAGTTAAAATGGCAGTGTTGGATCCATGTCAGGTTCTTGTTTAATTAGCACAATGTTCAGCATAAATATTAGTGATGTGAAAATGTCATTCAAAAATAATCATAAAACAGACCATATAAATTCAACAAACAGAATTTTCTAGAGGAGAGATGCTTGAAACAACGCTTGTGCTTCCTCTTTCTGTTTTCTGAAGAAGAAAAAAATTCTTCCCAATGTAAACCAATGGAGAGGAGAGACTGAAAACAAATATTTTTTGGCAAGGCTTAGGACAAAAAGATTTTTTCAGAAGGGCTTCAGTATAGAGCAAGAATTTTAGTATGGAAAGTGTGGTTAGTTTGTCTTGTGTGTTGACTCTTATTATTTCTTCAGTATTCAGGTTTAAGTATGAGTGTGTGTGTGGGGGGGGAGACAATACTGGCATTTGAACTGAGGACCTCCCTCTGACAAGCACTGTACAATTGGTATCCATGACCCGAGAACTTTTTGCTTTAGTTATTTTGGAATAGGGTCTCACATTATTGCCCCTGGCTGGCATTAAACTACACTCCTTCTATGTATGCCTCCTATTGTAGCTGGGATGACAGACCTGTACTGCTATGCCCAGTTTATTGTTGAAAAGGGTCTTCCTTTTTGCCCAGGTTGGCCTTGAACCAATCATCCATCTGCCTCTCAAATAGCTGAGAATACAGTGTAAGCTACCACACCTAGCTAAATGTAAATTATTTGAATATATACTCATTTTTTATGTGCCAGCATTGAGGCTTGAACTCAGATCCTTAAACACTAGTGTAGGGTTGTTTTTTTTCCACTCACAGCTGGTGGTCTACTACTTGAGCCACACATTCTGGCTAGTGTTTTGCTGGCTTATTGGAGTCTCATTGACTTTTCTGCTGGGCTGGCTTTGAATCTGGATCCTCAGATTTCATCCACCAGCAACTAGCTAAGTATACATTTTGGATAGATACATAAGAGGGGTAATAATTTTGTATGTTTTGATTTTTTCAGGACAATTGAAGTATTTGTGTTATCTCATGTCTAGAGTCATGGCATATTTCCAAATTATGAAAAAATTAGCTTTGTCTTCTATGACAATTCAGAAAAAAAGAAATTCTGCTTTTTAAAATTTTTCACATTAAATGGAGCTAAGTAAACTAACTCTTGAAGAAAGATACTATTATTTTATAAACCATTTCTTGAACAATTATCATTGACAAAGCTAATAAAAATTAATTTTTCCTATTATCATGGCATATGTATAAGTCTCCAAGAGACATTGTATGGAAACAGTTTTAGTTACCACAATTGGGAATGTACTTCTGGCATCTCGTTAGCAGAGGTTAAGAATATTGCTATATGTCCTACTGTGTGCAGGATAGTCCAGAAAACAATTACCAACCCAAGGTGACAGTAGGGACAAATTCTTCTGATCTGTGTCAATCCCCTCACGTGTGGAATTTTACATAGTTAGTATGTACATTTTATCTTTTCACTTAATTTTATATGTTGAACATTTGCCATATTGCTAGATTGTTTTCAACTTTTTAAAAAATATACTTCTCACTTGGGAATTTGAAAGGAGAAAAGGCTATATAATATATTTAAGAGAGCTGTGTTCAAATTGTATTTACATGGAAGGAAGAAAGAAGGGATAAGATGAAAACTTGCTTGACAAGATATTCCCATTTTTGTGGCCAAGCTATTTTACTATGTTCCTTAGAGTCATTTAGAGACCATTTATATTCAAAGTAAATTCTTTGCTGCTGTATGAGGTACAGTTTTGATCCAGTATGGTCATTGAAAGGCACCTTCTAGGAGAAAAAAGTAACAAGTAGAAATGACTGTACCCATTCTCCTGACTCTCTTTCCCTTCATAATTCCATTTCTATGTCAGCTTGCTTGGACACTTCAATTTGCTACCTCCTTCTTCTACAATATTTTAAAGACCTAAAAATACTTTCAGGATGCACTTCCTTACAATGCTAAGTGAGCATTCCTTCTTTCTCTACCTTGTAGAGAACAATATTCTTGTGTACTTTGTTGGGTGGGCAATTTTAGGTATAGTTTAGATGTCAGGGCATTTATAAATTAAAGGATACCTCAAGGTCTGTTGCATTAGATTGTAAAATCTCTCAACCACCAAGTCTCAAACCATTGGAAAAATGCTTGTTTTATAATGTAATAATACCATTGTAGGCAGAGGTATCTAATTGTCCAAAGTCAAGGAAATATAAGAACAAGACAGAATAATTATGTGGCCTGAAAGGCTACCGGTAATGTGGAGCAGAAGAGAAGACTAGAGAGACAGGAGGGACTTCGTTGTGGAGTTTCTGGAGCAAAGCTAAGGGTTTTGAGCTCTGTTTGAAAGCAATAATAATGTGAAGCAGCAAGTAATTTGCATTCAGAGCAAATTCGTGTGGCAGCTTTGCAGAACACAGACTGCAAACTGGATAAGGCCCAGCCTGGCAACAGGAATATCAGTTAAGAATGCTATTGCATTCTGATGAGTAAGTAGTCAGCAGAGCTTAAACTAAGCCAATGGGCATAGAAGATGAAGTAGAAGATGATGGGAGAGGTAGAAACTGTATAGTTTGTGATACCATTTGTGATAGTAGGAATAAGGGAGTAAGGATGGAGTGAGGAGGGCTTGAGATTACATCCAGGATTTATCAACAGAGTGATGGTGATTTTTAACTATGGAAGATGGGAAATGAGTAGATTGTTCAAGCAGAGTTGTTTATTATTCAACTGGACATAGCATTGGTTTAAATAAACTCACTTTATATTACCCTCTTACCCTATATACTGGTCTCCGGAGCTTGCATCTTCTCATCAATCCTCAAAGACTAGGATTTTCCTATTTGTATTCCTACTTCTAATCCACTTTACCTACAAGTGACTGAATGTATGTGTAGAAATGTACATGCAGAGGAGGGCATAATCCACTGGGTAACGAAAAACTGTCTCAAAAAAAAATTGAATCAAGTTGGGCACCAATGGTTCATACCTGCAATCTTAGCTACTCAAGAAGCTGAGATCTCTAGTTCATTTGAACCCATCCCAGGCAGGAAAGTCTGTGAGATGCTGATCTCCAATTAACTACCAAAAAGCCAGAAGTAGGGCTGTGGCTCAAGTGGTAGTGCACTAGCTTTGAACAAGACAGCTCAAGGATAACACCCACTGAAGCCCTGGGATTGGCACACCAAAAAAATTAACCAAGAGATATAAAAGTAGAAGGGCTTATTTAACTAGGATGTTGTATAGGATTAGGATCAAAATGGCTGTTTTCAGCCTTACTGATGAAGAAGCAGAGAAAGTCCTTCCAGGTCAAGCAGCAAGGGAAACCAACAAACAAAAGACCTCATGGATCAAGAGGAGCTTTTTTTCTAAAGCAAGAGTCTTGCTATGTAGCCTAGGCCGACCTCCAGAACTCACTAAGAGCAAACCTGGCTTCTGTTTCAACCTCCTAAATGTTAGGATTATAGGTGCAGGCCACCACACCTGTCCTTTAGAAGAGACTGTTAATGATTGTCCAGCTTCTTTTCTAATTCTATGCAGCCATTTTAGTTCCCAGGACTTATCATGGTTCTGTACACTTCAGTACAATCCTATAGTCATTAGGATTGGCTGGCTCTGAGGGACAGAAGGCTCAGAATAATACTGACAAGCCGGGCTAGAGATTTAACTGTGTGAGAACACTTGTTTAGTAGGTATGAAGCCCTTCAGTCCCTAAAGAAATTTATTTTTATTATATAAAAATCAAGAATAGGGCTGGGAATGTGGCTTTAGTGGTAGAATGCTCACCTAACATGCATAAAGCCCTGCATGTGATTCCTCAGTACCATATAAGCAAAAAAAGGCAGAAGTGGCACTATGGCTCTTAAGTTGTGGAGTGCTAACCTTGTGCAAAAAGCAGCTCAGGGACAGTGCCCAGGCCCTAAGTTTAAGCCCCAGGACTGGCAACAACAACAAAAAAATATCAAGAAGAAAGGCTGTAACAAGTAGGCAGCATCTTAGAATTGTCAGAGACAAGGATATTTTCCCCCAACATGGTTCTGTATTTATCATCAGGCTGCTCAGGCTTTGGCTGTCTGAATTCCAGTCAGTTGAAAGGAGGAAGGAGCGACTTGGCCCTTTAAGAACCCTTGATGGAAGCAGTATAGAATTATATTTACATCCCACTGATTACAGCATAATCATACAGCTATATCTAGCAGTTAGCAAGGCAGTCTTGTGGTTAGTCCAAAAACTAAATGTCTTAATTCTGTGGAAGAAGGAAAGAAAAAATTAAAGGATAACTGTAGTCTCAGCTACCTTTACCTGTATTTGTTCCAACTTCAATGTTTCTCTTCTTTCTCTTACCACTTATGTGAGCAAACAAGTACCTTAAGCCTCTGTAAGTAAGCCTACATGCTCACCTATAAAATGTAAGATAAGACATATGACTCTGGTAACAAATATATGATGTTCTTTAAAAAAAAAAATTGTCCGTTGTGGAGCTTGGACTCTGGGCCTGGGCACTGTCCCTGAGCTCTTCAGCTCAAGGCGAGCGTTCTACCACTTGAGCCACTGTGCCATTTCCAGTGGCTGGTTTTGAACCGTGATCCTCAGATCTCAGCCTCTTGAGTAGC